GATCCTAATAATAATTACTGATGCATTTAGGATTATCTGGTTAATCATAAGATTTAAGTGGACACGAACATGAATGATCAACGCCAAGATCTCTTTAAGAAAAATCTGGGCATTTGTCGCAATTATCAATTGATCCACTACATGATGCACATCTATAAGAACATTCTAAAATTAAATTATAATTAAATAATATACTTAAGCAATTAAGATCTCCAATTTATTTTTCTAAATGTCCATCTTTACAAACACATTTATTTGCTTTAACAATTCTATTACTTTAAGTATAACAGGTGAGGCAATTATCAATTTAAGGACCAAAACAAGTCATACAAGTATAATGGCATTCTTAAATTAAGATATAATATTACATTAACATTGTAATTAACCAACATCATAGTATCCATAAAGACAATCACATTTAGATATTATTAATTATCTATAGTTTAAATCACAAGTTAAACAATTAGTATCATAAATTCCATTACATGTTTTACAAGTAAAATGACATTCTAAACACTCTAATTAAAATTGATCACTATAATAATGTGAATCTCTGCATAAACATTTAAATGTTGATCCGATTCTGTCAGGTTATCTTGTAGATGGACAACTAATACATTAATCTTCTCCAGGATTATTACAATCTTAACAAGAGTTATGACAACCCACTAAATTATAATCTATATAATTACAATAACAAACAATATCATTTTTTCCAGTATCATAAAAAGTTTAATTACATTTACATTCATTATTTAATGTTAAATGTCTATTAGATTCACTTGAACAAGTAACACAATTAGTTGATAAAGGTCCATTACAATTAGTACAAGTATAATGGCATTCTTTGTATAAAAATATAAAGTACTAAAGCAAATATCTAGAATTCCATCTTCTCCATATCCATTTCTACAAACACATTTTAAATCATCAGATAAAATCCTATTTTATCCAGCTATACACATTGTACAATATTAATTTGCAGAATTATCATATGGGAATTAGCATTTTTCACATATTCGATGACAAGCTAAATAATTAATTTATCATATACGTTAGCATAATGTTTAACCATCTTACTAAATAAGTTCGATTGTTCTTATAGCACAAATACATTTTCCACCAACCAATTATTTATAATAAATATTTGGATCTCCACACTCTGTACAGTCATTTTCAAATGGTCCTTAACAGTTATAACATGAGGAATAACATTCTAAAATATTTTATTTGACTTAATACTTTAACAAATTTTATCTTCTAATCCTGTATCATAATATCCTTAGAGACATGGACAAGTATTTCCAACAAGACCTCGATTTCTTAATGGATTACATGATAAACATTCTCCAAATGTTTAAGTACATGTTTCACAATTTCCACTTGTACATAATAAGCAATATCCATTTAATTCTGCATATCCTGAGATTGAGTCACAAACACATTATCCTGGGATGATTCTTGCTGTTAATCTGTTTTGATAAAAACAGCTTGTACAATAATTAGGATCTGTTACTAAACAAGTTTAACATGGAAGATTGCACACAGTATTATAAAGAGCACACTTTTTTTCAGGAGTTAAATAATGAGTAGCAAAACATCCTACACATTCTTATGAATTATGACAAATAAAACATTTTTCTAATCCTGGTTCTTCTTAACATGCTAAAATAATCAATTGTATTTATTTATTACAAAAACATCTAGTTCCTTTCTTAAAATATCCAACATCACATTGTTGACAATCAGTATCTATTGGCGTTCCTTCAGAATCATAAATAAAATCATATTTCATGCAATTTCTATCTTCAAAGCATAAAGTATTTTTAATAGTATAAGGCCACATACATGATGAGCAAACTCCCTAAGAACAGACTTAGCAATTGCTTGGGCATTCTAATTTAAATGATTTATATTACCAACGCATTATCCATTTAATAATTCATAACCTGCCATACATCCAGTAAATGAGTATTCAGATTAGTTCTCTTAACATACTTTATGGCCTGTTTAACATTCTTTGAATAACCATTTGATATACTTAATGTGCATTTTTAATCAGTATCATTTAAAGGAGATTAACCATCTATGCAGGTAGCACAAAATGAATTGGTAGCATCACAAGTTTTACAATACTGACCACATTCTTTAGAATAAATGAATGTTAATACATGGAGCTGATGGAGAAGTAGCACAATTTTAACCATAATTGTATCCACTACAATATATACATTTGTAAATTCCAGAATATTTTTATCCAATTAAACAACCATTGTTATATAATGAGGATTTTGCTTCAGTTGTAAAGATTAGATTTCCATTTTGATCATATGAATATATCATTACATATGG